TCAGACGAGGCTGATTTAAAAAGGCTGTTATCCTTGATTTTCTGTCTATCTTTGAAAAATGGATACCCGAAACACAGGGCCAACTTAAGGCAATGTTTCGGATAATGGCTCTCTGGGATACAAGGCTCAGTTAAGGCAATATCCCAGAATTGTCCATGGACTCATGTCTTTGGAGAACAAGTCTTACTGAAGTTTGACTTCAGCTGAAAGACCAGTGTTCTTTAAAAAGACTGAGTTTTGTAAGCCATCTGAAACCCAGTTACCCGAAGGCGAAGGTTTCAGACGAGGCTGATTTAAAAATTTTCAACTGTTACTGTTATCCTTGATTTTCTGTCTATCTTTGAAAAATGGATACCCGAAACACAGGGCCAACTTAAGGCAATGTTTCGGATAATGGCTCTCTGGGATACAAGGCTCAGTTAAGGCAATATCCCAGAATTGTCCATGGACTCATGTCTTTGGAGAACAAGTCTTACTGAAGTTTGACTTCAGCTGAAAGACCGGTGTTCTTTAAAAAGACAGGTTTTGTCAGCAATCTGAAACCCAGTTACCCGAAGGCGAAGGCTTCAGACGAGGCTGAATAAAAAACCCTCAAAGAGTAGATAGAACAAAGAAAATTTTGAAAGGATAAAAAGTTGTAAATTTTATATAAATGGCGGCTCCAAGGCCTGTCATTAGTTCAAAATGTACTTACAAAGATTGTTCTGCCCCGAAGGGTTTACACATGGTATTTTTTCAGTACATCAGCATTCCAGTGATTCTTCAACTCAGTTCCATCCAACTGCCGAAGTCGGTATGTCCCTGGCTGAAGCTCATCATAAATTTCATAAGGTCCCTCCCATGTAGCTGAGAGCTTCCCATGGATTCGGCCTTTCTGAACTGCAGCAGCATTCCGAAGGACAAGATCCCCAATTTTGAGAGGCCTTGCATGGACCCTTTGGTTATAGGAGATGAGGTCTGAACTTATCCCGGGCATATCAGCTGCCGAGAAAGCAAACACATCTCTGTTATCCCGCAGGAGCTGAATAAGTTCACAACGGGTGTTAGGATCAAGGTCCATCCCGATTGTTACACATTTCTCAGCATCTCCTTCGGCCAACTCTGCTGTTTCAGTCTGTTGGTCCATGTCCATTGCCGATGGACTGGACTCTTCAGAATCTGGTCTGCTGCCAATGTCAGCAGGTGTCCCAGTCTTTGTGTTCTTCGGCTGGCTCTCTGAGTCTTTCGGCTCAGATGAAGAGTCAACCTTTTCCCTTTCGGGACCTTTTTCTCTGGGCACGGATCCTTGGGCCGAAGCACTTAGGCCTTTCGGCTTTTTTGTGCTTGGCTCTCTTTCTTTTTCTTTCTCATCATTGTCGTCATTTGGGCGACTACTGGATGGCTTGAGGTAATTGCACCTTCGGGCGTCCTTTTGGTTGCCCTGTATCCTTTCGGGGAAGCCGGCGTCTGAGACATAAATCATCAGCTGATGATAAGTTGAGACGACCCCTTGGATCTCGTGAATTATGGGTCTCCCCAAAATCACGTTGTACACTGAAGGAGCGTCGATGACCAAAAACTCAATCATGACGTTCCGGGCTGCCTCATCGCAACCGATGGTGACAGGAAGTGTCACCTTCCCATCTGGATAAGTTGAAGCCCCATTGAACCCGGATACCGGATAGGGTACCGGCGTAAGGTGCTTGGGCTTCAGCTTAATTTGGTTGTAGGCCTTTCGGAACAGAATGTTTGCTCCGCTGCCACCGTCAACAAGGACCTTACTGACGTCGTGGTTGGCCACCGTGGCGATGATCACCAACGGATCCTCGTGAGGGAACGTAATCCCCCGGCAGTCGGCGGCTGTGAACGTCATGTTCGGCACCGGCGACTGGGGAGATTGAATGTCAGCGTTGTTCACCTGGTGAGTCAAAGCTCTAAGGTGACGCTTGTGCTCCCTCCGAGAGTATATTCCTCCCGAGATAACATTGATCGGAGGGAATTTCCCCTCCGGTTTTTTACTGTTTTTCCGGGGGAAATTAAGGTCCTGCCGAGGGTCCTTTGCTAACCTTTCGGATTCTTTTTTCTCGCGGTGATCCGCGATGTATTTTTTCAAGTATCCCTTCCGGACCATGTCTTCTATCTGGTCCTTCAGCTGGATACACTCCTCAGTGTTGTGGCCCGAAGAATCGTGGAACTCACACCACTGATTTTTATTTTTTCGCTGATACCACTCTGGGAGTGGTCTCGGCTTTCGGTAACTCTGCTCCTCCTTCGTCACACTGTAAATTTTGGCGCGTGGAAGAGAGAGCGGAGTGTAGGACTCATATCTGCCTGTGTATGAGGCAAACCTGTCCTTCTTTAGGTCGCTGGCCGAAGATGGCTCCGAGGCCTTTGATTTTCCCTTTGCCTTATGGCCTTGGCCTTCAGACAAGGGTATTTGCCTCTGTTTCCCTCCCCCGGATTGAGGTTGGGTTTTTGCTTTATTCCATTCTTCGGCTCGGATAAACTTATCCGAAGCATTAAGAGCTTCCTCCAAGGTCTGCGGGGTATGCATGACCATGAAGTCTAGGAATTTTCCTGGCTGAAGGCCATTCTGCATTGCAAAAACAGCTAGCCCCTGGTCCAGCTGAGAGACGCTTGATGACTCGTTACTGAAACGGGTCAGGTAGTCTCGGAGGCTTTCGGTTTCCCCCTGTTGCAGACCCATGAGCTCTGCGGTAGTCTTTTCTCGGCGGTTTGCCGTGGAAAACTTGCTCCTGAACTTGGAGGACAGATCATCCCAACCTGTTATGGAGCCTTGCCTTACTCCCTTGGAGATCCACGCTTGCGCGACCCCCTTGAGAGTGGTTGGGAAATATTTGCACCAAGTCGCCTCGGATCTGGGGCAAAGATGCATATGAGTCTCATACGAGGCCACGTGGTCCTTCGGATCCGTGGTCCCGTCATATGTGATATGCGACGGTATTTTAACCGTGGGTACGCGCTCTTCCAGTATCCATTGCTCGAATGGTGAACTAGCGGGAAGCATAATGGCCTTGCCCTTGTTCCTGGCCGAAGGGACCGCGCTCCGCCCTCTTAGAGAGGTAGGAGTGGTTTTCGTCCCTGGCTGGGAAGTCTGGGCCTCGGCTGCAGGGAACGAGAGGCGACTACGCACGCTCGGTTCCTGGCCGCCGAGTCGGTCAAGGACGCTTCTGCGAGCAGTCTCGGGTTCCCGGCGAGTAGATTCTGGCCGAGAAGCTGAGCTGCCGCTCTTATGCGCTGCTGGTCTTGAGGATGAGGATCCTTTAAATAATTGAGAGTTCTTCTTCCTCTGTTTTTCATTTTTCCAAGAATCCTCCTCCCACTCTTCCATTTCCCGGAAGGAAGGAAGCTTCCCACCGTCATGGTCTAACTTCCTCCGCTGATGCCGGGTATGCGGAGGAGTTCGATCACGAGGCGGTGGCATATTCTGTGCCCTCATTGCCTCCATGAGTACTGCCAGCGCTCTTGCCACCTCTTCCGAACTGGGCCCCGTCAAAGGGGTCCCCGGCCGAGTGTGGGCATGAGGCCGTGCAGCCGATGGTTGGCTTCGGGACACTGAATATGTCCTATGATCAGACTGACCCCTGCTAGACCGAGAGTGGTCCGGCCTATATTGAGAGTCATGCATTATAGGAGATAGGGAATCCTCCTTGTGTGATCCTCCCCCCGAGCCGGCACCCTTGGGAGAGTTCCGGTCCGGCGTGGGCGATGGTGTAGGGGTTTTAGGCTTTTCGCCCGCTCCTTGACGGAGGCTTTTGCTCTTGCGGTTCTTAGCCATGGCTGCTAAGATAATTGCAAGATGATCTTGGTTAGGAATTTGGCTTAAAGATTTTTGAAAGTCTTCCCCACAGACGGCGCCAAATTGTTTCGGTTGAAAACAATGGGACCTTGCCGAAGGTCCACTGAAATGGAGAAGACTGGATTCGATCCAAGCTGTGTTGGGCCGAAGGTTTCCTGCACAGTGAACACACGTAAACTAGCCTCGGGGGTGTTTCCGAGGAAGGCCCCTCCGATGCTAAAGTCAGTACAATGTGTAAAAAGGAAGACACTATGCAAGAGAGTTTGTAGCTTGAGGCTTTTGTGGAGTATTTCTCAATGCAAGAATGAGCATATGAATTGGAATAATCAGTGTATGTGATAATGTATGTGATCTCCCCTTGAATGTGTTAATATGAGGGCTTTTATACCTCATCATACTTGGAGAGGTTGGGCTTTAGCCCAATTGGCTTACTTTGTGGGCTGACTTTTGACTTTTGAGCAATTGGAGAGTTGAACCTTGACCTTGGGCTTTTAATTGGATCATTTAGTGCTCAGGCCCAATTTTGACTAAATTGGACCCAAACAATTTATAACCACTTTTGTCCATTTTCATCATTTTCATATTCATCAAGTGACGAATTGAGGATACAATTTAGTTAAATACTCGTTGTATCATGCAATTTAAATTGACTTTAATCCATAATACAAGTATCTGACTTGATGCATAAGTTATTACTATTTTCACTCTACACCTTTTAGTAGCGTCATATTGCATTATTGCATCATTAACAATTTGAAATGGAACAAAGTTGAACATTGACCATAGACTACTTTCATCTTTCTTTATTCCCAAGACTTAATAATGAATAATTCAATTGTTTTCAATGTAAAACTAAATGCAAAAAATAATTGTTGACTAGCTTGGAGTAATGCTTTAGTCGGGTAATGTTCAAGTAACCACATAAATCGAATGTCGTTTACATCAATATTGTATCCAAATTTAAATTAAAGGGTATGCAGGAAATCAAAAGGGTAGTAAGAACATAAAAAAGAAACTACTAGAGCACGGTAAGAAACAGAGATATGCACTCAGACTCGCAACTTCATAAGACCTAAATTAAGCTATGTACTAAGCCAATATATCTGTGCATAAATTATGTATGTTAAATCATTTGAGTAATTAACGTATATTGACAACATCACAGCAAATGCTAGCTACATAATTTGACATATTTTTTATGTTTTACCATCTTTCATCCCCTAACCAGTTGTCCTTCTCCTTAGGACCTGTTGGTCCTTCTTCTTTGGAGAGTTCCGCGGGCAACTTGCCAACTAAGTTAGTGACTGAACCTCGTAGCACTCGTGGAAGTCGTTTGATTATCTTGTCAAACTCTTTCGTCGAATCATACACAATCTTTGGTCCCCATTCTCTCATAAACTGCAGCCAACAAGGCTCAGTAACATCATTTCCTAGATATTCAGCTGCAACAATCTGATATTGAGTACTAGAATCCAGAGAAAAGTTGCTTTTACTACAATCATTTCTTATACCTATACCAAGACTTGAGGAGCCTTGGAGATAAGTCCCTGGATGAGGGAAGCTAGCATGACCGCTCCTCGATGAGTATAGAATAACTCGGTTCCCCTCTATGAATTCCAAATCACAAGCACTTATCCACTGACCACCACTGTGCTGGGAGAAGTACACTCTATGAAGTTCACCAGTGAAGTTGCTTATCCTAAGAGTAAAATGTTCCCAATCACCAATATGTTCGCCTGTCTTTTTTAAGGGAACGTTAGTTGGTCCAACCTTTAGGGTGGCTGGTCCATTGAAAGGCGAAAACACCCACATTGCTATGTCAGTGAAAGTACCTCCTAAAGCCGGCTTCACATGAGCATAAAGTTCGGCACTTTCAAGGTCTCCATGCTTGAGAACTTTTCTACGATCATCATAAGGAATATCTATCCAGAACTTTCCATCATTTGTTCCACCACAAGGCAGATTAGAGCCATCAGCACTGATGGGTTCGCCGGTGGACTGCCCTGCTTTGAACAATAAGGCTCCATTGACAAAGAACCACGAGACAGAAGATGGAAAGTAGACCTCTTTAGGATGAAAGAAAATGGTTGGACCATAGTGATGAATTAGAGTATGAATTTGATCAATATTTGGCATTCCATGCTGCCATTTTGTGTTCTTGTTCTTTAAACAAACAACCGGCATTTCTTCTCCTGCAGTCCGCAGGGTACTACTGCAGAAGAACGTTCCTACTGAGACACCTTTCCCTAGCATGCCTCGATTACAAGGCCTAGTCTCGAAAACTTTGAGAGAGATCTTTCTGAATTTAGAAAATATGTCCAGCATTAAACCACAAGTCTCAGAATCATCAACAAGGTCCTCTCTGACACACCTTACTTCATCCAAATCAGGTTTTCCCAGCAGAGTTGACACAACAAAGCCTAGGACTCTATAACCGTAAGGAGGTATGGGAAGCCAAAAGTGACCAGGTTGATCACGAATACCCAAGCCATCATCCGAAACCCAAACTAAACTATAGTCAAGGGGCATCATAAGAGCTGGTGAATAGATGGAATCAGAGTCACTGCTACGATTATGTGACTCGGAATCCTTAGCCACAAGAACATAGCCATTCAAAGGCTTGCCGTTTGGTTGGCAGTAATGACCAAGGCTGTAAAATCCTTCAGGTAAGCCTAAAGGCTTATAGAACGAAACACCTTTTCGCTTGTCATGTGAGAGATGAGACCCCCAAACAAACTCAAACCTGGTTATTTCTGCAACTTCTAGCTCCCCTAGATTAATTGTTCCACTGGCAAATCCTCGGCCTAGTAAAAAAAAAACGATACATGTCAACACTGTTATATGAACTAGAAGATTCTAACAAGGAACAACAGTTAACTAATATCAAATTGATAAGACCAATACGAACTGATGATCATTTCTATACGATCAATTCAAATCCTGGTATCCCTACTTAGCTGATTTTTCGCATTGATGGCACACCAAACTCTACCATTCCAATCATTAGTGAAAACAGATAATTCGTTTGGTAGACATGTTGTTTAAAATGGTGGTAGTGGTAATGAATTTTTATACCAAGTACATATGATAGTCTAATAAGTCCGTAAATTTTCATTACCATCCATTACCACTTTAAAAGATGGTGGAGATTTAAAAATTACGAGTTACAAGATATCGTGACAAAAAATTCTTACAAAATCAAATATATTCGAAGTATCATTCATTAAAGTCTACCAAAATTGAAAGTTACAATTAAAATTCACATCTTCAAAATTAACAAAAGTGGTCAATAATATAAAATTAGTTATAGAAGAAGATTAAACATAGAATTTAAACGAGAATATAATTATTAATGAGAAAAAGTAACAAAGTTGAGAAACAAACCTTGAGGCCAGGTAGGCAATGGAGCTGGCAATAAGAAACTAGTGAAAGAAGGAGAAAGATTGATTGAATAATTCCCATTCATGCGCTGACATCCAAACATCTTCACAAATTTATCTTCAAGATTTAACCTTTAGATCATACCCCATTTTTCCCTAGCATTTTAATTAGGTTCTAAATCTTTGATTTTGCGCTACTTTTCTAGGAGTTTATTGTAGGAAATTCCATGAATTTGGAATGTAGGGTTTAATTTTATTCCTTACAAATTGGGCTTGTTTGATAAAAGTATGATTTTTGTTGTTCATAGTTTTTTTTAGGTTTATTCAATTGCACTTGGGAGATGGTTAAGGAGGATCGAAATGGTTAATTATCTAATTCTCTTGACATTTTAATGTACTTTTTTTGTATGCGGATTAAATTTTTTTTTTTGTGACGAGGAGAGATCATAGAGTTATGAGGATATGATAAAGATAGAAAATTGATGAATGAGTTGGATGTCGAAAATGAATGAGAAGTTTTTAGAATATCCTTACTAAGCAATTTCATCCTTCTTTCATCTACATTTGTATTCCCTTTTGTACCACCTATGTGATGAATGATGATATGTGGAATATGTAAGGGATTTTAAATTTTTAATCACTTTATCCCTAACTCCATCCTTAGTTCAATATAGTTCTAGAAAACATCTCTAATAAGTTCAGTTCCTCCGCTCCTAATTTCCTTCTCTTATAAAATATTCATTTCAATTCAGCTCTAATAAGTTCAGTTCAGTTCAGCTCTAATAAATCCAGTTCAATTCAGTTCAGCTGAGTTCAATCAATGAGAACAAGCCCGAAGTAGATAAAGGCAACAAAATTAGAGCAAAGAAATTTTGTATTGTGCATCCAAGATTGTATAACATAATATGGTGCATACGAGACCACAATAGGGCTTGCTCCCACCACTATATATTGAGCTCATAAACCTAGGTGCACATTGCCAACATATATGGGGCATAAATTCGTAAACATAAGTGCACAATGTCAACATGGGTGCTACCGTGCTAGATGCATTCGATTTTGCCACAAACAAAAAATGGATACTTACCATAATTTCTTTTATAATTACCATACATCAAACCTCTAACAAAATAAAACCACACTAGTACAAGAAGTGCTCTTTATTGAAATCCCAGACAATAGTTTACACCCTTGCATGATTACAATGGCGTTTTCATGAGTTGCCAAATCAAGATAAGATAATGTACAGGATTGACCAAAATCTATAGTACATTGGTCTTCATCAGAAAAGCGAAGGGACTGAAGCTAAATATCAAAGCCTACCCATGAAAAGAATGATCACACGCACAACTGTATACAAACGGAGCCTATGCTTCCCTATTTACAGAGATTCATATAAATCACTTAAATTCCCCAATCACTTAACTTAAGCTGCTAACCTAACAAAACTGAGCCACGGCTAGCTAAGTTCCCCAGCTCAAGTGGGAGATTCGGCTAGTAAGAGTGTATGCCACCAGCCACAAGCCGCGTTTTTTTGCCACACAACCGTCAATCTTTACTTGGGATGGAATGTTGCGATCAATTGCATCCCCCAATCCAAGCTACATAACATTATCAAGAAGTTAATTTAAGGAGTAAGTGATGGCCAGTGTTCATCCTATGGTAAGCTACAATGACAAGATTTCCTACCTGTCCATACTTGTTCCAGCCCCAACAGAAAACTTTCCCGTCCTCTAAACAAAAGAAGCATAATATTAGCAATTATAATTATCAGTAACTATATCAAAACTGTTACTATACCACTAGAAACATATACAGCCCCTTGGTCTTATAACTCTTATAGTCTTATTATTTCATTCCAAGATATAAATGCAGCATGGGTAAACAATAAACGCATAGGCAGCTTGACCAAGTCACTCTTGACTAGCCATCCCAGATGAAACAGATCAAAATAAATGTTCAAGAAGTCCTTGTGAACAGGGTATGCAAAAAAAGGCACTAGATCTTTACGGATTTTTTCTACAGCAATTTCCTACAGGCGCCCAAGCTATAACATAAATAATGTTCCAAAATTCACAACTTTCTGGTACCTTAAGAGCTATAAACATCGCATCGCTGACTATAAGCTAATGAATAAATGCAAATTGGCATGCGGCAAGACTGACAGTAGAGATGCAAAAAAATAGACACCAACTTGATAAATACCTGTAACTACGGCACTATGACGTGCCCCACAAGATACTATTTTTGCATTAACACTTTCTATGCTTGGTGCATCCAACAGCCTTGGGAGAGTCTGAAAGAAACAAATGCTATCATAAGAAACATGCTAAACAAACAGGTTCAGAAGAGATATTAAATAGATACAGAATCTTGCGGCATAGCACATCTGAAAGGAATGAATATATTGAACATGAAGAAATATATCATCAATCTGAGAAGGATATACCTCAGCTTGGTCAGAACCAGTTCCCAGCTGCCCAAATTGGTTCCCTCCAAAGGCATAAACATCGCCCTCTGTAGATATACAGAGTGTGTGCCATAATCCTGCCGCAGCTGTCTCAATTCGAATACCAAGCAACGAGGATACACAAGTAGGGCTTAGCACATCATCAGTGGCACCTTGCCCACACTGCAATAGCACAGTCATGATTTGTTAAGAATGTCTCGAGAGAGGCAGTCGATTATTCCATTGACTTCCCTTCCCTTTAACAATAAATACAAAGGTAAAGCAATAAAGTTAGAAGAATATAATCATCTGATCCCTTGCTAGAGAGTGCTTCATCTTGAACATCTACTTTGCTTTTTTCTCCACCAAATCTATTTACCTACATAATCATACAAACTGCAGTTGATGCAACGGATAATAAAAAATGAAAGCAAAACTTGATACGTTATATGCTTTCTTGAATTAACAAAGAGTTGATAACCATTAACAAAATGACACATTAATTACCCACTTAACTATTTAAGATTACAGTTCTGTAGCTTTTGTTCAGGCAAGGCTTAGCTAGTCAAATTGGATTCAAGGCGACAGTTTTAGAACATTAGTTTTTCAAGAATAACCAGGATCTAACTTTCAACTGGTGACTACAAGTTTGATAACAAATAAAGTATCTGTTTGTAACAGATTCCAAAGTGGTTTCCCCATTCTTAGTTTCTTTCGCCACGCTTATTTTTTTTATATATCTCCAAAGCATATTTGTTACTATCCCTCATAACTCTAAAACAATCACATCTAATACTTAAACCAAAATCTATTCAGTTCATTTCATAGAGCATTTAATTCTAATTGTTACTTATTCCACAACTACATTCTACACCAAACATGCTCATAAATGTACAAGAATATTGTAAGGTTTCTATCGCTCCACTAATTAAAGCAATATCTTGACAGCTAAAATGAATTATCGAACTAACAAACCATAATCTTTCTAGAGAAATTAAAGAATAGTATGCCCTACTACAAGAAGGCACCAACACAAGGGCTTTCAAAATAAGTAAAACTCTAATTTTCACCATAGCAACTTTCAAAATTGAGCTTTTTGACGCTAGGTACATGTACATCACCCCAACATAAAATCCAAATAATTCAACGCTTCTGAAGAAAAAATTCTAACCCAGTAACAAGCATAAGGAAAATAGTAGGCGTCTTTTACATACCTGTCCATAGAGGCCCCAACCAAAGGCTAGGATTGCTCCAGCATCTATTCAACATAACCGGAAAAAAAATATTCAGTACATAGCTAGAAAACGAAACTATACAGATAAACTGCTGCTCTCCACTGTGCAGTTCGGCTAGAAATAATGTTTAAAAAGTTACAAGACTAGATATGTAAATATGAAATTAGTAGAACGCTTATGTCATTGTATAGACATTGACTTATACACTCATTGCATATTTATGATGACAATAATTGTGAATTATATGACCCTCACCTGTTATTGCCGCACTGTGTCGTCCCCCACAAGCAATTCCCTTGATGTAAGATCCAGGAACTCTAAATCCATGGCCATCCGAGTTTAAGCCACCTTGAAACCCTGAATGTCTGTCCTTCCTATATGAAGACTCTATACATGGTACAGGGTGTGGAGATGATACCATTCGAATCCTTGAACCCAAGCCCAGTTGTCCTTCTCCTCCATAGCCCCAACCCCACACTTGTCCTACATCTGAAGCTTCAGGGAAATAAGACCCATCAGCAGTCTCATCACATAGCATACTTTGAGGTATAAGTTTGAAAAAGTATAAAACTAACAACAAGCAAAGCGCCTAACTAGTCGATCATCATTCAATCCGGTTTCATCAGTATATTTATCTATATTCGAAGACTGAAATGAACAAAAACAAGCTAACTTTTCAATTTTGGTTACTGTAATGACACCCGAAAATGTAGAAGCAAGATCATGCTCGAATTTTACCTGACAATGCTAGAGTATGCCTGCCCCCAGCAGCAACAGTTGATATTCTCACTCCTGGGCTAAGTGTAACTAGACAGGGCAATGCCGAGAGAGTTTCTTCACTAGTTGTGGAGTTTTCAGCAGCTTGTTTAGCTGATGAAACTCGTCTTCGCTTTGCAGTTTCTTCTCCTGCTCCTTTATTGTCAAAACCGGTTCCTGACCCACTACCACTAGCATTTTTTGACCCTCGGGGGCTAACTGCCAAAAATCATCTATGAAGCAAATCTGATAATTCAACCAGCAAAAGAGCATGATCTCTTCTTTACACTATAAATAATTGAACCATCCATAGTTACCTTGTTCGGGAAACATCGAAACTTGTTTTTCAAGTGCATCCTTCTCTAAACTTCCTCCAGAAGAAGAATCTCCAAAAACCTTCCCCGAGGGAACACATTCCTTCCATCCCCAAGTATAAACTTCTCCGCCGTCTGAAAATCCATTAAGGCCAAAACTTAAACAACAATCAATTCAATAAGAGATTCAACAAGAACCCGAAAACACGAATGAATAGTAATACCTGTAATTGAAACACAATGTGCCCAACCAGCAGCTGCCCTTACAATGAGAGCTTCTGTAGGAAGTGGAAAAGCCTCTGGCGTTTCCTTGAAAAATACATTTTTACACCCATTTAATACAAATTCTTAATCTTAATAGAAAATGTAGCATTTAGGGCATCAGAAACTTGTGCA